GCCATGGATATAAGTCACAATGCTTAATTGGGCATTATTACAAATCTATTAGAATAAAAGCGGGCACATCTGCCTCATTGGGACCTTGTGTTAGAGGTGTGCTTCTCCACCCAAAGCCTGTGTCACATTGTTTGTTTGGGTAGAGCCGCGTACAATCTTCAACGTGAATGCTTTCAGAGTCTTAGGCATCATTAAAGAATCTGCAAAGGGATATGGCTAAGTTCAGTGATAAATAGGATAAATTTAGCACGAAGAAAGAGGCAGCACATTGTTGAAGTGGAAGAAACTGTAGAACTCCTCAGTGCAGAAGAATTTGGGGGATTCTGGTACATGAATCACAAAATATTAACATACTGTTACAATAGGTGGAACAGTTACAGCAAGGCAAGTTGAATTCTGTCATTTATTATAAGGGGAATGGAGTATATAGGTTGGGACTTACACTGCAGTTTGCTGAGATCACATGCGAAGTACTGTGCACAATCTTGGTCTCCCCACTCAAAGAATTTCACTGCATTTGAATCAGTTCAGAGAAGGTTCACTTAACTGATTCCTGGAATGGGTTAGAGGTTATCTTACAAGGCAAGATTGGACAAGTTGCATTTGTATCGACAGGAATTTAGAAAGACAAGACGTGATCGTGTTGTGTAGGTTTGAGAGGGGACTTTGTGACTGCTAAGGCAAATACATGGCCAAGGGTAAAGTCACAACGTGTATTAAATCAATTGTCTTTGATCACAGAAAAAAGACAGCTAAAACACTGGGGTGTGCAGTCAGGAGGTCTAGAAGACTGCACGTGGGCAAATAAAGTTCCTGTTAAGGAAAAGGTAGCACATAGGGCCTTCTTTAGTCGTTAGGTTTGGACTGAGTTGACATGATAGCAGAGAATGGTTGCCTACAGGTGAAATTTGGAAGCTAACATTGTTTTCCCCCAAAGTGTTAAGTGTTAGCACATCATTTTCCATCAATGTTCTATGAAGCTGAACCTTACACGAACAGCAGAAAAATCAAGTGAATATGTAGTCATGGGTTATGTCCTTACTAACAAAAATAAAACTGACGTATGGCTTTGGGACTGTTACTTGCTACAGAAAGCAGTATCTGGTGGAAAATATCTTTAGAGCTAAGGGCTCATTTGTCAACGACCGAGGAAGGCTTGGATATTCCATTAAAATTTACGCACGCAACAGTTAGGAAAGATGATTTATTAAATGCATGTGATGCTTGGTTAGAGTTTGTTAAAGTTAGAAATGCAGTTATTTCATGAAATAATAATTAAACAAATTTTACAAGATTGCAAAAGTCCTATTGAAAAATTCATAATTTAGTACTTGCTTTCAAGTTGTTTGAACATGCTCAAATGTCTATCATGGGCAGGTTCCTGGTCTTAACTGGAGTTAGATTTTTGGAACGAGATACACTTTTGGAACAGATGCCTGAAGTTTTTGGGAAAACATTCATTTTGAGAAGCCTTCATTGCACAAATTGGACATTTGGCGGTGTTGTAAAACGTGGAGGATTTGATGCTCATAGCATTTAGTGATTTTTCAGATATGAGGGACAGACATCAAATGCAGCAGAATTATCACAGATTAAAGAAATAAGGACAGAGAACATCTTGACAGATCTGGTAGGTGGTTAGAATTGAGTAATAATCAGAGAAGAATTAAGCTCAGGAATACCTGGGGAAATATCAATGGTCTTTCAGGTGCGATTCGAAATGTCATTTTGACAAAATATTTGAAAGAGAACAACAGAATTTGAGAGGACGTCAGAGGTAAGGACACTACCATTGCACCACAAGTACCCCTCAAGCCTCTGCCTACTGTAAATCACTCTTTCACAAGAGACTTCAATGAAGCAGGAGCTGTAGATTTACACTGGGTGGGACAAAGATAGAAATACTTGCATTTACATTTCATAGGCATAGCAACAAGGTTCAGCAGGTCTACATTAAGACCATTAGACCACAAGACGTAGGCCATTCAGCCCATCGGGTCTGACCCACTATTGGACGAGACAATCCACGGTGATGACGATTGCGGATCAGATCATGAAAACATGGACAGGGGCCAGACTAGGGGAATGGGCTAAATCCCGAATCAACAATGGGGTAGGATCTGCCAGAAACAAATTTATGGATGACTGCAAAAAATTAAAAAAGATTGCTGCAATGGACACAGTTGCTGCCAGTCCCTCCAGTAAGAGGCTTACTGAAAGAACTCACGCAGTGATCTTCACAAGATCTCTGCTTCCAAAGCCAAACTGCAAATTAACATCTGCCCTGGTATGGGCAGGCCACGTGAAGAATTTGTTTCAAATATTTGGGGATCCAATCCATATTCAGTTAGTCGGTGGATCAAATCTCCAAAAACAATACTTTTGATCATTTGTCATTACCTCCCAAACTTGGAAAAGGCGATTAATGGCACCTTTTCTATACTCTTGAATGGCCTGACTGGGACGGCAAACGGCATTCAGCAAGGCAGAGGTCTCAGGGAACATTCAGTGAGCTGTACAGCACCATATGTGGGAAAAGCATTCCTGCATGATTTTTCCTTTCCCTTGCCAAAAGGTGCTAGGGACAACTCCAGTGAGTTAACCATGGTGCCAGTTGAGATCAGTGATAACTGAGCAGGAAATGAACCTTCCTGGACTTTCATATCTCAGCATCGCATCAAACTGTGCTTTCACCATTGAATCAACATGGGTACACAGCTGGCTTACGTAAAGCAGAGCATTTTCAGGTGCTGCAGAATTCAATATGCAGTGAGAAATTACATTTTTTCCCTATGACGAAAAGAAATTGGATTTTTACTATGCTTGTAAATGGCTTAATAAAAATGGGTTTAAACGATCGACAATAAATTTTGAATTTCTTTCATGTTATATTCATCAAAAGGAGTGACAGACAATGTCAGAATCACCACTCCATTTCTGGTCATAAATATTCATCCTTTTCTCAAGTGGAGTGTCCCTACACGCAAATGCTCCACTTTTTCCCAAGCCGGAAATAACTGTAGGTGCTTCTTACATCCCTTTATGTACCTGATCTGATGGATGAAGCAAATTGTTGAAACAGCGTCAACTGCTGTATTCAGAACAGATGGAGTCACAGTGCAAGAGATAACTTGCAGTTTTAACCGCTCACCACAATGTTGGACTTGACTCAACTAACAATGCCTCCAGAATTATAATTGCAGATAAGCTTCAAAAGCCACTTAGCATTGCACGTCTTGTATAGTTTTTAAGTGTTTCTGTACAGCCTCTTTCTGCAGGAGCCACTAATTTGCATTTGATATAAAGAATTGGAGTGTAATTAAATGAACAGAAATTTATTTCCCTTTATGGTCTGAAATAAACCTGCATTCCTCTAAGCTATGAGTTTAGGCTATATAAAAGGATTATCATTCACAGTTAATTTATAAACACCTAATTCAGTTCTTCAATAGCTGCTTTTTTTACCCCCATTATTGAACCGATTGAATGAAGCACAGCACATTAAAACTATTGCAACAAATTATAGACAAGAAAGAAGTGAATTTATATGTTCGAATGTGCAGCACAGTCAGTGATGCCCCGTTGCAGCATAGTTTGTGTTCATGTTGGGCACAGCAAGACCCAACAAAACAAGGAGGGATTTCGTGGCCAGGTAATCTCTTTCTTGGGAAGTTACTTGAGGGATAGATGTTGGCTGGGGTGCCAGGACATTTCCTCTTCCAATTCTCTGAATACTCCCCAGATCTTGTACGTTCACAGCAGCAGACCAGACATGGCTTTAGCTTAACATCTTCACTGAAAGAGGACACCTCAGATAGTGCAGCATTCCGACAGCATGACATTGACACATCAGCTGAAATTACATGCTTTGTTTTCTGGGCTAAGGCCTGAGTCTGTAATTTTCCTAAAACTTTTGAAACAAGACTGCTGGAGTACTGTCAAAGAATGGAACATTAGTTCAGTGTTGCAGCAAATGGTTGTGGTGGATGGGTGCATTTGGGACTCAATTATAGCTTGCTGTGAGGTTTTGCAGGCTCAGTTTTTGGTCTCATGCTATTAGGTAGTCTAAAATGGAAGTAGCACAATTTAGAAGTTTGCAGACAACACCGAAACTGGCTATGTCACTGCCTGTTCAGATGGCCAGAAAAGTGGCAAATGGAACCCAATCCAGAGAAATGTGAGGTAGTGTGTTTGAGAAAGGCAAATAAAGGTGAGGGAATGTACGATAAATTATATGATTCTGAGAAGTGTGGAGGAACTAAGGACCCTTAGAGTTACAACCATAGGTTCCTGAAAGCAGTAGAACAGGTAGATGAGTTGTTCAAGAAAGCACACTTTCCATGCTTTCATGTCGGAGGCATAGCGCATAAGAGTGGGGAAGTGATGTTAGAATTGTATGAAACATCAGTCAGACCACAGCTACAGTAGTGCACACAGTTCTGATCACCAAATCACATGAAGGATGTGATCACATTAGAGATGTTAGACAAGAGAAGAGTCGAGAATAGAGAACCTTAGCTATGGGGAGAAAATGGATAGGGTTGGTGCTGCTTTCTTTGGGTTAGTGGAAGCTGAATGGAGACTCCATGGAGGCATATAATGGATCGAACTGAAGTGGACAAGGAGGATATATTCCCTCAGTCGAGGGTCCAATAGCCAGGGGACAAGGATTTAAAATAATTAGTGAAAAGTTTAGAAGGAAAGGGAGGAGTAATGCTTTTACCCAGAGGTTGGGGGAGTCTGAAACCCACAACATGAAACAATGGTACTGGCTGAAACTCTCAACAGGTTAAAATAAGTTTTGCGTAAACATTTGAAGCATCAGGATTACAAACCAGAAACTGCAAGGGGAGGTTCGACTGAATATAGTGTGGACACAGCGGGTGGGTCAAATGATCTCCTGTGTGTAATCTTCATATTTTTTGGATTTCAGTGTCATGGAAACTGGGCAGCAAAGCACAAGGTGATGCACAAGCAAGTGCAACAGGGAAGTTGCTCACCTGCAGAGAGGGTCTTCTGGTTAAGCTTTACGTGGTACTGGGTTGATCGCAGCTTCCAGTGCTGCACCATTGGATATCCTGTCACTTCACTGAAGTTAACCATTCCTGGAAAACAGAACAAGGAACAAATGAGTCTGATGTCTCACCTGCACAATGCACATTCTACACATTGTGGGTTTTCCTTTACCAGTGTCAAATCAAACTCTAATTGGACTTAATTGGGTCGCAGCTTTTTTTGAGATGTATTGTCCATTCTTGGGGACACAGAGTTGACCATCTGATTTTGGATTACAGTTGTTTGGTCAAATCTAATAGTCGTGGCAGGCTTCCTTTCCCAGAGAAACATTTTGACTTTTACACAATAATCCAGCATCCAGTACATAGCATCCAGCTGACTTGCCATAGTCAAGAGACCTCTACCTCCGCTGCAAGTTCTTTAGTTTGTGACCGCCATTAAAATACATCACATGAAGCACGATATCACAACAGTCAACTGGAAATTGAGGGAACTTTCAGAGCTGCAAGAGTCTGCTGGCGTAAGGAAACAGCAAAGAGGAAGCAGAACTGCAGTCTGAAACTATGTAGGTTACCTGTTCTTGGAAACTTGTCTAAGGCAGATTAACTCTTTCTCCTGCTACCCACTCTCATCTTGAGCTTAGCCACGCCGCCCATTGTGCTGCACTGTCCCCTATCCCCACTCGAAGCTGGAATGGCTACGACCATCGAAGACCCTGCACTCCTGCAGTAACCCAGATCCTCAAAAATCACTCTTCTGACTGTCCTGTTTTGCAATTAATTGTCCCCTCTGCATCTCAGCAACATGCCTTCCAAACCCCAGAACTGACTTTCCCAACGGCCCCGAATTTGCCACCAGCACAATGCTTCCACCCCCGCGCAAAGTGGATTTTCACTGGGTTGGCCCCCAGGACTGACCATGGTCCATCCCCGTGACCAATTCTGATGGCAGCCCCAACTGATTTGCATTCAACTGTCCGACGGTCTTACTGCTGCTGCCAGATTGGTTGCACTGGACCTGTATAATTGTTAAGCATTCCCGGATTCTGTAAGTACAGACCCCTGACCCTGGCCACCCCAAATCAGTTGACTGACTGTGTCCAAGCCACTGGACTGATATCAGTCAATGCCCTTGACTGAAGGTGGTCTCCCTTGGCCTGATAGAGGACTACTCCCTGGAGACTTTGAAACATGGCGATTTGATTGATACGCATGCAATGTGTTTGCTGCAATATGCTGGCGCATGTGACATTACTGCTACACAGCAGCATGTCCATCCCCGTGACTAACCACTGCGACAAGCTACCCAGCTGAGAGTTTGCATTAAAACACCAAAGCAAGGCTGAGGTACAGCGCCACCTCTGAATTCTGGCTGAGGGACAAGGCAAGGGAGGCCAGAGGGGGCATAATGTAAGTAAGTGCCAAGAGCCCCGAGATGCCATCTGGTCTAATCCAGAATTTCATGGCAGGCAAAGTGTCCCAGCAGCAGTAATACAATGAAAGATTATGGTGAACTCCACAGTGCATTGCAATGCATATCCGTACTGTAAGTATATGAGACATGTGGAATACAGTGCAATGAGGCTGGTATGTGTCTGATGCCAACATCTATGGATGTGTGGGGGCTGCCCACGGAATGTGCCCTCACATGTTGTCCAAGAGGAGCTAGAGAGTTGTCAAGTACCGACTTCTGACTTTCACGTAAAAGAACTGTTGCTGTTTAGTGTCTATTGGACGGGCAGGAGAATGGGAAACTGTATCTCAAATGAGGCGAGAGGAGGTCATGACATGCTTATACATTCAAAAGGAGCTGTTCCCTAGCAAGATTCTCACCTTGCCTTTCAAAACTTGGCTGCAGAATCTGACTTCTCGCTTTTGACGAGAGAATCTCATTTCACCTATTCACAGCGTAGTTTCCCAACTGACGCACTGCTGCTCACATGGGTCACTGACTGTTTATAATTGGTCGGCTTATAGTTGAAAAGACAAAAAAAAAGAAGTGTCTCGCTTTGAGCAAACTCTCACCATGGGAGTAACATTTCCCTCAGAAGGAAAGTCACCCCAGGAATGAGCAGACGAATTGCCAACACCAACTTGCCCACGTGTCATTAAAAGACATGCATGTTTTAATGGATTAAATACATCTGCAGGGACAGACTATATTTAACAAACAGTTTTTGATTCTGCGTGACAACATATCTAATAAAAATGATCAAAAGTAAAGTTAACTCATAACTTCAGATTTCTTTTACAAAAAGGAGAATGTTTGGAGACATGTACTTCTCCAGTATACTGGCTGGCTTCTTGTACTCATGTGGCCTCTACCTCTGCTGTAAGTTTTCACTTTGTTTTGTTCACTGCCACAAGCCATACATGAAAGGTGTTCCATTTGATTTTTTTTTTTTTTTAAAATGGTCTTGCTCAAAAAATCCATCGAGTTCAATTTTGTGAAAGTCTCCACGATGGGAAGCAAGAGAATTGTTTTTTGGACCGAGGGTTTTTGAGTGTGGAATCAGAGTGACAAGGGACTGGTTGAAGACAGTTGGAAAGTAAAGCCAGGTGACTATACAAAGGGTGAGGAAAGGTAGAGAACGAGAAATTAGAGTGGTTGCACACACTACAGCTTAAACTCTTGGATTTCAAGAGCTCTCACGTCCTCTGAAGAATGAGACACTACCACTGCGTCACAAGATTCCCTACTTCCTCAGGGTAGTGTCCAAAGCCCAACCATCTTCAGCTGCTTATAGAGCTGTAAACTCATACAGCATGGAAACAGACCCTTTGGCCCAACTAGTCCATGCTGACCATGCTCCCAAAGTAAACTCGTCCCATATCCCTCCAAACCTTACCTATTCATGTACTGTTTCAAATGTCTTTTAAACGTTGTATCTGTACCCTCATCCACCACTTCCTCTGCAAGTTCATTCCACACATGAACCACCTGTGTAAAAATGCTGTTTTCATGTTCTTTTTAAAATCTTTCTCCTCTCACCTTAAGAACATGGCCCCAAGTTTTGAACTCCCCAATAATAGGGAAAAAAATCCCGTACTATTCACCTTATCTATGTCCCTCACGATTTTATAAACCTCTATAATGTCACCCCTCAACCTCCTACGCTCCTCTCTCCATAACTCAAACCCTCCATTCCCAGCAACATCCTGGTAGATCTCTTCTGAACACTCCCCAATTTCATAATATCCTTCCTATAACAGGGCGACCAGAACTGTACACAGTACTCCAGAAGAAGTCACATCAACATCCTGTACAAACTCAATGCGACGTCCCAAATCCTATACTCACAGGTCTGAGCAATGAAGGCAAGCGTGCTAAATGCCTTCTTAACCACCCTGCCTACATGTGAAGTTTCAATGACCCTCCTTCCACAATAAAGGTCAGCAGTGGGATGCTCACTAGAAACTACACAATGATCAGTCGCATTTGCAGCTCCTCAGATAACAGAACAGCCTCCGTCTACTCTTTTAAACTGAAAGTAAAGCTCCCTCAACACTGTCTCCATCGAGGAGAGCAGGGTTGAGGCTTGGCAATCATCAGTCACTTTTTACCAGAAACTGAGCCAGACAGCCGTACAAAAACTGTGGCTACGAGAGCAGGTCAGTTGCAATGAGATCCACAATGAATACTCTTCTCTTGATTCCCAATCCCAACGCCCAGCCTCCAAAATGCTTTCCACCATCTACAAGGCACACGTCAGAAGCATGATGGAATTCACTCCGTTTGCCTGGAGGAACACAAAGCCAATAACACTCATGATGTGCAAATTCACCCAGGATAGACTACCTGTTTGACCTGCATCACATCATCTAATGCCGTAAACTTTTGTACCATCTACCATAATGCACCATCTACAAGAGACACGACGGCAACCTAAAGGGCACTTCTGCCAATTTCCACCATCTGCCATGGCAGAATTTGAACGCCTGGGACGTTACCTGGGATCTCTGGATTAACAGTCCCATTATAATACCACTAGGCCGTCGCAAAGAGAAGGACGCAAACGGCAGGCACGTGGGAACATCAAAACTTGAACACTCTGCCATGACTTGGAAGCATATTGCCATGCTTAATCAACACCGGGTTAAACTCCTGAACTCCGTACTAAACAGCACAGAATAGCGAGTGCCTCCACCGCAGCAGCTCACTGCACCACCTCAAGGTCAGTTAGGCTTGAGCAGTCAGTAATGCCATCATCTCACAAATGAAGGGAGTCAATGATGTAGGGGGTTCTGTTATCTCACAGGATGACTTTTGAAGATTAGGGGGACAAACAAAAAGCCTGAGTTGAAAACTCCACCAGCGGCATCTCCAATGACATCCCCAACAACTGTCACAATTCAGGAAAGAAATCATCAGGGAGTGGAGTTTCACTTAGATGGGCTTCGTCATTTACTCAGTGAATGATTTCACCAGAGCTGACTACGTCTGAACAGAGAAGGTGCTAATGCTCTGGCAAAACAGATAAAATGTGATGAGCTCTTTGAATCAGGAAGTGGCTGTGAATGCAAAATCACCCTGGGTGAGGTGATAATGAAGGATGAAGTTGATGCGAATAATATTCATGCTGAAAATGGTTTGGCACCAGGAATACAGAGCAAGGAGTACAGAGATGAAATGACCCCGTTCTAAACAGACAGGAAAATAACTGAGGCGAGGGTTTGGGTTGGAAGGCAGCAGGAGCAGTGGACAGATATGGACAAAATTGGAAAAATAGCTGCATTAAAGAAAAATAACACATTGAAATACAAAAAATTCAGTTTGTAGGAATTTGGGAAGTGTCCATCCTGGAAGCAAATCGTTTTAAAGGATGGTTGAGACCTTTCATGTGAAAAGAAACTTGACTGAACATCAGACAAGACTGGAAGACTGTCAAACAATATCTTTTTAATAAAAGCTCTCCTGATTAAAAGAAATAAGGTGGAGCGGCAATATTTCAGGAAGAGGGAACTCAGGATGTGGACGGCATTGTTGTTGAGGAAGAGTGTAGACAGAATCAATATGTTTGGAGCTATTGACAATCTGGTTTAAATTACAGAAAATAGTTAATCGTAATTAAAAAGGGACAACTGTGATT